TCAGTATGTTGGCTACTTAATAATAATAATAAAAAATAATAATGATAATCCTTGCCTTTGGAATAGAGTCTTATCACATCTTCTAGCCATCTCAAAGCGCTTTACAGAATTTATTGTATATTTGTGGGCGAAACACGGCAATCAATTGTACACAACAATGTCACACAGACAGTAATGGATTGTGTGACCTAATTGTTATTATTTTTTTGAGGGATTATTATCCCTGGAAAAACAATCCCCCGATCGACTAACAAACAGGTTCCTACTTACTGCTATAATAATAATAATAATAATAATCCTTGCATTTGATATAGCGCTTTTCACGTCGGGAGGACGTCCCAAAGCGCTTCACAGAACACACTGTAAAGTGAATTGACTGTATATTTGTGGGCGAACGCGGCAGCCAATTGCGCACAGCAATGTCCCACAAACAGTCGTAGATTGAAAATGACCAATTTATTATTGTTTTTTGTTTTGGAGGGATTATTATTAGGCTCTGTGTGGAGTAAGGAAACTTGCCCAAGGTTTCGCCCTGCCTGGAATTGAACTCAGGTCTCTCGCTTGTGAGGCAAGTGCTCTAACTAGTAAGCTACAGGACTCCACTTACCATCTCAATCAAATTGTGACAGTTTCCTAAATTTTCAGGATGATTCAGTGAGTGTAAATGTTGTAATATAACTCGATCCAAATCAAGAGTGTCAGTAGCTTCTTTTTTTGTCAATCCAAACACTTATAAATCCACCACTCTAAACGATACACTTTATTTTACTTACAGTGTCCTGGATTAAATTAAAATCTTGTCCACCTAAGATTTGAAACTCTTGAGTTATAATAATAATAATAATAATCCTTGCATTTGATATAGTGCTTTTCAAATCTTCTAGACGTCCTAAAGCGCTTCACAGAATATACTGTAAAGTGAATTGGCTGTATATTTGTGGACGAACGTGGCAGCCAATTGCACACAGCAGTGTCCTACAAACAGTCATGGATTGAAAATGACCAATTTTATTATTGTTTTTTGTTTTTTGGAGGGCTTATTATTAGGCGTGTGGAGTAAGGAAACTTGCCTAAGGTTTCGCCCTGCCTGGAATTGAACTCAGGTCTCTCGCTTGCAAAGCGAGTGCTCTAACCACTGAGCTACAGGACTCCACAGAAGTTGAGTACTTTGTCCAATAGTTTGGGAGATGCTCCTTGGTTAAAAATAATTGGATTACTCTCTCCAATTGAATTTGTTTAATGGTTATTTTTAATCAACCAATGGCAACACTTTACCCACCACATTAAATTCATGTTGTGAAATGCAAACTAGCATTGTTGTTGACAAATTCTACTTTTACCCTTGATGCCCAAATGGAAATTGCATGGCATTAGGGGAACATTTCTGTTATTATGTCCTTAGCTTCCATCTTATCTCTTCATGTTCTTCTTCATGTTATTGGATTTTTGATTTATTTGAAAATTTTCTCTAAGATTTATTTTGTACAAGTAAAACTAGTCACCTTAATAATCCTTGTATTGTATATCATACCTTGATTGTTAAAATGTCTCTAGCCTTTACACAGGTTTTACTGTCAAGTATAGTGACGGTATTCTTGTATAGTGACTGTATTCTTGTATTCTTCTTCAATTCTTGATCAATTTATCTGAACGATTGTTGGCCAAGACATTAAGAGAAACTCCAGGTGTGCAAATGAATTTAGTAAAATAAGTTTTAAAAAAATTAAATTCTCATTGTAAGCATATGCAGCAGTTCAACTGTGAGCACCCAATTAAATGTCTTTTTTTAAACAAAAATGTTTTTTTATTCTAAAAGAGGACTGTTTTGAAACCTACTATTGGAACTTGAGATGACATTGAAATATATCATGGTTTGATTTTATGCCATGCCAAAAGGAATTTTCTCTTAAAAATGCTGCTCTACACGAAAAGATGTAATGCACAATAAATATGGTCAGGCACTTTTTTTTGTATATAGGCACTGTATAAGCCTCATGAACCAGTTAGCATCAGGCAATTACAGGTATGCTATCATTACATTTTAAAACCAAAAATAAGAACTCAAACTTAGTAATGATAATTCTTTAAAAATTAACAGAAGTTAACAAACTGAGGTCAGGTGATTTCTTTTTAATTAAGTAGAAGCTCAGTCACAATGTTGATAAGTGATTTATTTTTAATTACTATATTAAACTGTATGAAATATTACTTTTTTAAAATTGATAAAGATTTTAATCGTAGCAAACTTAATTAAGGAAGCAAAATTAGAGAGATTAAAATAATACTTAAATAATACACAGAACATTTTATCAAGTAAAAGGGTATAGAATAATTGCAATGTGAATGTCAAGAATGTTCTTTCTTCAACACAAAGACTACCTTTCAAAACAATTTGAAATTAATTATTGTGAGCAGTTATTTCAAAACAGTAAAATTTCCTCACACTGGAGCAGTGCAATATTGTTTTGTAGACATTTAACTATTGTGATACCACATTTTGTGAGACCACTGTAGACCATGATGTACATTAAAGGCAATCACTGCACACTATCACTAACCTCATTATTTATATTACAGAATAATTATACAGCACCCAGGCAAAGCCTTTACATGCCATATTTTTTGCCGTTAGCACCAGTGTCACCTTTTACTATTCATCTCCATAACCTAGTCCGAATGTTATTTGCACAAATTGCATTCATTGAAATGTAATAATAATATAGTCATCCTTGCATTTGATATAGCGCTTTATCACATTGTCGAGGTGTCTTAAAGAAATTCAGGGGATATACTATAAAGTGGTTTTGAACGTGTATTTTGTGGGCAGTTTGTTCACAACAATGTCACACAAACAGCAATGGAGTGAGTGACCAATTTTATTTTAGAGATTATAGAGTGGAGTCCTGTAGCTCAGTGGTTAGAGCTCTCGCCTTGCAGCCGAGAGACTTGGGTTCGGTTCCCAGCAGGGCGAAACCTTGGGCAGCTTTCCTTACTCCACATGCCTGATAATAATCCCTCAATAAAAAATAAACAAAATAGTAATTTGGTCACTCAATCTGCAACTGTTTGTGTGCTGCTGCTGTGCGCAATTGGCTGCCGTGTTTCACCCACAAATATATGGTCAATTCACTTTACAGTATATTCTGTGAAGCACTTTGAGACATCTAGAAGACATGAAAAGAGCTATATCAAATGTAAAGATTATTATTATTATAAACTCAAGGGAATACAGACCTACGAGTGTCACTCAAGCAAGTGATTGGTTGTCAATTGGGTCCTTGAATGAAGTTTAGTGAGTGTGTGTGCTCTAGAAAATTACCAAACTACTTTGACAGATCTTTGGCAATGAAAGATCTAAATCAAGTCAATTTTCTGTGGAGGTCTTGGTAGTCTGATAGTTGAGCCAGGCAGGTCTACAATATTACAAAGCACTGTTATTGACCAATTAGTTTGTCTGGCTCATTAGCAGGTTTAGTCACTGCAAGCTGGGATTCCCAGTGAGCTCCTCTTAATCCTGCCAGCCAAAGCTCTAATGCATAAGGTGGGGAATTTTTCAATGTTTGCATTTGTACCTCAATCCATAAACCTCCCCAAACCTCATCTCTTGCCATCAGCACTTAAGTTCACTGAAATTTTATGAGCAGGATGCATTCCTCAGACGGGTTTCCGTGTTTAGTATGAGACAGTGTGAGACAGCAGAGGTTGTTCTTTCAGGACCACATTGAGGACAGTGTGAGAGAGGAGAGGTTGTTGTTTCAGGACCACATTGAGGACAGTGTGAGAGAGGAGAGGTTGTTGTTTCAGGACCACATTGAGGACAGTGTGAGAGAGGAGAGGTTGTTGTTTCACGACCACATTGAGGACAGTGTGAGAGAGGAGAGGTTGTTGTTTCACGACCACATTGAGGACAGTGTGAGAGAGGAGAGGTTGTTGTTTCACGACCACATTGAGGACAGTGTGAGAGAGGAGAGGTTGTTGTTTCACGACCACATTGAGGACAGTGTGAGAGAGGAGAGGTTGTTGTTTCACGACCACATTGAGGACAGTGTGAGAGAGGAGAGGTTGTTGTTTCACGACCACATTGAGGACAGTGTGAGAGAGGAGAGGTTGTTGTTTCACGACCACATTGAGGACAGTGTGAGAGAGGAGAGGTTGTTGTTTCACGACCACATTGAGGACAGTGTGAGAGAGGAGAGGTTGTTGTTTCACGACCACATTGAGGACAGTGTGAGAGAGGAGAGGTTGTTGTTTCACGACCACATTGAGGACAGTGTGAGAGAGGAGAGGTTGTTGTTTCACGACCACGCTAAGAACAGTGGTCCTCTGCAGTATAAGTGAGCAGAGGATGACCGACTGTTTCAGGACCTCACTGAGGACAGAGTGAGAGAGCAGCAGAGGATATGGCTGTTTCAGGACCTCACTGAGGACAGTGTGAGAGAGCAGCAGAGGATATGGCCATTTCAGGACCACATTGAGGACAGTGTGAGAGAGCAGCAGAGGATATGGCGGTTTCAGGACCTCACTGAGGACAGTGTGAGAGAGCAGCAGAGGATATGGCCATTTCAGGACCTCACTGAGGACAGTGTGAGAGAGCAGCAGAGGATATGGCGGTTTCAGGACCTCACTGAGGACAGTGTGAGAGAGCAGCAGAGGATATGGCCATTTCAGGACCACATTGAGGACAGTGTGAGAGAGCAGCAGAGGATATGGCGGTTTCAGGACCTCACTGAGGACAGTGTGAGAGAGCAGCAGAGGATATGGCCATTTCAGGACCTCACTGAGGACAGTGTGAGAGAGCAGCAGAGGATATGGCCATTTCAGGACCTCACTGAGGACAGTGTGAGAGAGCGGCAGAGGATATGGCCATTTCAGGACCTCACTGAGGACAGCTCCAGGTGCGGCTCCCGCGACACGTCACGCTGCACCTGCTCTTACGTCACCGGAAGTCACGCCTCCGCTCTGAGTGACGCGCTGCACTTCCGGCGCCGCCATCCGCTGACACAGCCGCTTGGAAACGGCGAAGATTTTTTTCCCCTCCGCAGCCTCCGGTCCACAGCCCCCAGACACCTGCCGGGAGCCGGCGGGTGAGTAGTGCTGCCGCCGTGTTGTGTCGTGTTGTGTTTAGAGCCCGTCTCACGGCTGTCGCTGTCTGCTGGAGCCGCAGCAGCAACTCGAGTTGTAACCCCAGACCCTTATACAACAACAACAACAACAACAACTTGCACTTATGTATCGCCCTCCACGCAGGGTAGCGTCTCAGAGCGCTTTGCAGTGGCGGAGCCTGAACTCCGAGCCGGGTGTGTGGGGGTGGGGTGGGGGGGGTGCGAGGGACGGGCAGGAGGCCGGTGCCAGTTGAGCGGAGGCGCCGGGTGGTGGATTGGGGAGTGAGGAGGTCGGAGAGGTAGGGAGCTGCCAGAGAGTGAAGGGATTCAAACACGAGTGTGAGCGCCTTGAAGTCAATCTGTTCGGTGATGGGGAGCCAGTGGAGCCTGGCCAGAACTGGTGAGTTTGGTCCGGGTCAGTATGCAGGCGGCAGAATTCTGAATGAGCTGGATTTTTCGAATAGTGGACCTGGGGAGACCGAAGAGGAGTGTGTTGGAGTAATCTGGGTGGGAGGCATGCACGAGGGTTTGGGCTGCATTTGGGGTAAGGGATGGTTGGAGGCGGGCAATGTGTTGGAGGCGGAAGAAGATGGTCCTGGTCAGGGACCTGATGTGGAGGAGGAAGGGCAGCTGGGGGTCGAACCGGACGCCTAGATTGCACATTGGTTCGGTGAGTGTGAGGGAGAGCCCTGGGAGGTTGAGGAGTTCAGATCTGCCGGAGTGAAGACATTGATGGGAGCCAAGGAGTATGGTATCCAATCGGGTTTCCGTGCCGCACACAGCCCAGAAATAGCCCTGGTCAAAGTGACAAATGACATTCTGTCCATCTGCGACCAGTGCTCCCTCTGCCTCCTCATCCTCCTTGACCTCTCTGCTGCTTTCAACACTGTCGACCACTCTATCCTCATCCACCGCCTCTCCTCTCACCTCAACCTCCATGGCGCTGTTCTTGACTTGTTCAGATCGAACCTCTCATAACGTCTGTACTTCATCTCCACAAACGGTTTCGCCTCTAGCCCCCGGACTGTCTCGTGGGCATTCCTCAGGGCTCTGTCCTTGGTCCCCTCCTCTTCAACATCTATATGCTCCCTCTGACATCATCCGCAGACATGGGGTCAACTTCCACACGTATGTGGATGACACCCAACTCTAACCCTCTGCCTCCACCCTTGACTGCAGGACCACTGCTATGCTGACAGAATGTCTGGCAGACATCAAATCCTGGATGAGAGCTAACTTTCTTCAGTTGAACGTCAACAAGACCGACGTTGACTGCCAAGACCGCCAATCTCCTGATTGTCTCCCGTCAGCGCCTCCTCACCTCAGGCACTGACAGCATCACCATCCATGGTTGCACACTCCACCTTGCTAAGCCAGTCCGGAACCTTGGGGTCTTGTTTGACCCTCAACTATCCTTTCTACCCCATATCTGTGCCAGAACCCGCTCTGCCTTTCCCACCTACGCAACGTCACCCGGCTGTCACTGTCTCACACCGCAGGCCGCCGAAACCCTCATTATGTCGAGGCTCGACTGTGCAAACTCATTGCTTGTCGAACTCCCCAACTCCTCCCTTCACAGGCTGCAGATCATCCAGAACTCTGCAGCCCATGTCCTCTTCCGCATTAGGCTCCGCGACCCTATAATCTCCATCCTTGCCCAACTCCGCTGGTTTCCCATCACACAGAGGATACAGTTAAAGATTCTGGTCCTCACCTTCAAAGCCCTCCATGGTCTTACTCCCCCCTACCTCTCGGACCTCCTAACCCCCTACCATCCTGTTCGCTCCCTCCGCTCAGTGAGCTCCGACCTGCTTCACGACCCCCGCTTGCTTGCCCCACTATTGGCAGGTGGGCCCTCACCCTCTGGAACTCCATCTCGCAGTCCCTCCGTCTCTCCCCCTCCCTTGCCACCTTCAAGACCCATCTCAAGACCCTCCTCTTCGACCGTGCTTTCAATCTCCCTGCTTAACCCCTGCCCTCCACCCTCCCCCACCCCGACCCCCAGCTCGGGTCCAAAACTCTATCTGTCCAGCGCCTTGGGACGTCCTCCCGACGTGAAAGGCACTATACAAATGGAATTTTGTTGATGTTGCTGTTAAAGAGGCCCAAGGATGTAGCCCTGGGGTACCCCGCAGGTGACCCGGCAGGAGCAGAAGGAGAAACCGTTTGCCGAGATAAAGTAGAGACAGTTGGTTATAGCAGAGATCTATAGCCTGTTACACTGGTGCCCCAGCCCCCCGCCTGCCACCAGCCCCTGCGTGCCACCTCCCCTAAGCGCCCCGTCTGGTATTCCATGCTGCGTCTAATAGCAATTGCAAGTATTACACATAATAATAATAATCCTTGCATTTGATATAGCGCCTAATCACATCTTCTAGACATCTCAAAGCACTTCACAGAATATACTGTAAAGTGAATTGACTTTTGTGGGCAAAATGCAGCAGCAATTGCGCACAGCCGTGTCCCAAAGACAGTCGTGGATTGAGTGACCATATTACTTTTTAAACAAATTTTTAAGGGATTATTATCCCGGAAAAGCGATCCGCCAATCGACTAACAACATTGATTACATTTGTCTACAAAAGACAGTCTCTACACTTTATAGTAAAATACCATGAAACCCTTTTACACCTCTTCTCGACACAAAGCTTGCCTAATCAAATATTATTAAATGCACTTAATGCTATATGTACACTCAATATTATATGTGCTTTTAATATGTTGAACGTCAAATCACAGTGAATGCTGATTTAAAAAAATGTATCTTAAAAACTCAGATTTGAGGGTTTGTTGCCACGGATAAAACTTTGAATTATCGCAGAAAGGGCAGGTGGTGAATGAGAGGGAAAGGTTTTATTCTTCAAAATAAATTGCACCACTTTCTTAAATCTGATACCATTTTCTGATAATTTTTCTAAATGATTTTCTTCCCCTATTATGTAACTATTTCTGTACTCCATTTGCAGGTTCAATAAATGTAAGGTTTGTTTTTGATCTAAATACAGTCATTTTTTCCTTGAAATAAAATCCATAGCGGTGGATCATATCAGTTGTACCCATATGACAATGTATTGCTGGTTAATTTACAAGTGTAAAACGGAAATAGATTCCCAGCACCATATGTTCAAGTGAGCTGTTTCCATTTCACACTTGTAAATTCAAACTACAAATGCATAATTTGAATGTGATGTTCTTCTCACTACATGTTTATGTATCCCTACCCCAACTTAAATACAAACATAACTGAAATGAACAGAATTAAATTGACAACCAATTACTATATTTATTGGATGTTTGTCAACACGTATCCTATAAGTACATTGCTCATTGTTTCTAAAGCAATTCTACAAAAAAAGAACTGATTGATTCTCAAGGTTTCTGGAACTGTTCTAGCATGACTTCTTGATTCTGCCTAGCTTTATTTTAGTTGTCCATCTTGTCTGAGTTTGAAAGCAAATATTTCCAGATGAAAGATCATTTGTTTTAATAAAGTTACTCGCCACCAGAAATTCTCAAATGAAGGAAATGTTTCCTACTAGTTTCTCCAGCATTTATTGCCTAATTAAATACAATAGAACTCCATAGAGACAAGGTTTTCAAATGCAATCTCTTTACCTTCCTCACATCTATTTTTCTGTTTCCTGTGGTTTGATGCATTTACAACAATATTTTCAAAGAGTCAAAATTTAATGTCTGGTAGAGATGGTAGACATGTCTTCATTACCCACAATGACATTGCAGTTCTGAAATCTGAAATGTATTTTGTTTTGTCAATGACATTGTTCCCAAACCAACTATTTTGGTTTGGTGGAGTCCTGTAGCTCAGTGGTTAGAGCACTCGCTTTGCAAGCGAGAGACCTGAGTTCAATTCCAGGCAGGGCGAAACCTTGGGCAAGTTTCCTTACTCCACACGCCTAATAATAATCCCTCCAAAAAAACAAAACAATAATAAATTGGTCATTTTCAATCCATGACTGTTCGTGGGACATTGCTGTGCGCAATTGGCTGCCGCGTTCGCCCGCAAATATACAGTCAATTCACTTTACAGTATATTCTGTGAAGCGCTTTGGGATGTCTAGAAGACGTGAAAAGCGCTATATCAAATGCAAGGATTATTATTATTATATTATTATTATTATTTTCTGGAAAAATATTATTTTTGTATTTAGATATTTAAAAACCTGAGATGAATGTAAGATAAAATCTAAGACATCAAAAAAGATGCTTCACCCTTTGAAGTATCAGTACCCCAATATACATGTTGAAACAAGAGCTCTCTAGGAAGTCAATTACATAAAAATGAAGAGTAGGTTATGCTGACCATTCGAAATTCCCACGTTGCTCTTTTATTTTGCCCCATTATTGTCTTCCTAAATAATCCATCTTGCATAATTTTGTTCAATCTTGAATTTCTAACCTGTTATCTTTAGCAGTGTTCCCACTTTGCCAGAAAATGTGTTTCAAAGAAGGAGGATAAATACAAACAGCCTCACAAAGCTCAACCAGTGGAATCTCTTGTTCAGAAATTAATACTTCAAGTCGTTGATGTCTCAAAGTGCTTCACAGTGGATTGACTGTGCATTTTGTGGCTGATTATTAAATGTTTTTTTTGTGTTTTGCATAGTCAATAGAAAAGAAATTGCATGTGGTTCTCAGGTTTACTTCACGTTACAGAGCTTCCAGAATTTGGAAAAAAAGCAAGTAGGTTCTTCTGAATATCTTTTTTTAACGAATCTACGGAAACCTTTGCTTCAACGTTGAGGCGTGGAGTCATGTAGCATATTGTTTGGCACGCTTGCCTCACAAACCAGAGGAGCCGGGTTTGATTCCCAGTCAGGGGGAAACTTAGGCAAGATTCCTTACTCTATATGTCTCTGTTTACCTAGCAGTAAGTTGCAACCTGGTTGTTAGTCGATGAACGGATTGCTTTCCGGGGGTAATACTCCCTTCAAATAAATATATAGAATAATTTGGTCACTCAA